TTTCACTTCTTTCCAGTCCACCCTGCTGGATTCTTGAGGGGTTTTTTTCTAATCTAAACTCAGATTATTTTTTAAAGGCTCCAATGACTCTTGGTATAAAAAAGGGTGTGGCCAAAGGTGTGAGGGGAAGCTTTTACAGTTACTACTGTAAAAAAAAAAAAAAGCTGGTTAAAGCCTCTACAATTACGCATTTAGTTCTTGAATGACTAAATGCAACATTCTGGGTTTGTGCTGGGGACCTTGCCTTGGATTGGATCTGATGCTTGTTTTCCATCGGGTGTTTCTGATTTATTGAACAAATGTTATGTTGGCATTCAAAGAACACCTTTTCAGCACACATCATGTGTGCTTTATGCACGCCGCCTCCTCACTTTTGCACTTTTAATTCAGCGGTCCATGCATCTCTATGTTTCGTTACATATTCCAAGTCTCAGACTCACCGCTGCAATCTTTATGATTTGGTCATCGCTGACCACTCGTGGTAAACGGCTCTGGCGAATTATCTACGAGGTGCCCCGGGTTTTTAGAGCTCTGGGATAACGATGCTTTCTTACTCTTGAATGCCGAATGTGTTGCAGAACGTTAAACATGCTTTAATCTGGTATCATCGAGAATGTGGTGACACTGAAGTTCCTGTTTCCTGTTTTATACTGCGTTTTACAGTGTATATGTCTCTCCTGAAAAGACTTGATTTGAACCGTTCTTTAAAACTGCAGAGACAGATCATATATCACCTGAGCGCTCTGGATACAGGTATACCTGTTCTACACTGTTCAGTCATTATCAGTGCCACTCAGCACTCTGCACATGCTCAGTGCTGTTCTCTTGGTTTGTTGATCATCCAGACCCATATGGAAAAGAAATAGTAAAAACTTATATGATTTACTCATGAAAGTGGCCACTTTCTCATTACTTTCATATATTGTTTTAGTAAGTATCCAAAACATACAAGTTTCATTATATAATTTTTCAAGGGATCTTATATCTGTTTTCACTCTTGTATGCTTTTCATACAAGTTTCACACAAGACAGATACAAACTTTATAAGATTTATATATATCTTTTCCATATGGGGAGGCACACATTGCATTGGAGGAAAATAAAGACAAACAAACCTAGTTATGTCTAAATATGGAGGAAATCAGTGTTGCTTTTGTGTTTAACAAAGCCGAAAGACGAGTGTCTTTGCTGGTGCCGATCAGCGCACCCAGTTCGCCCCAGTCCTCCAACCAAGGGTTTGAATAGTTGCCGTCAATTACCCCTGAACCTCCTGAGCCCAGTAAATGGTAATCGGGCCAGCCCCATTGATACATACGTTTAATTCTTCTCTGCACTCGATGGCTGGCGAAGCTTAAAGAGGCTCTGTGCAAGTTTAACAGATTAGTGTTAATCAACCACGAACTGATTAAATCACTTTAGTCATTTATCAAGAAAATGTGACAAGTGTCTTCTGCTTCCAGCTTCTAAAAGCAGCATTCAATACTTCTCTCTCTGCTTAGCATCGCTGTAAAATGCTCGAACAAAAGAAATCTGAAGACGACGCCTCGAGCACCTGTGACAGTTTATCGACCATCACCGCACGGCTGCATTATGTGAACATGCAGAGATGCAGCCTGAAATGACGCCTGCTGCTCAGAGTGAGAACACGCAGCGAGTTTTTTAACATTTAACTCACTTTAATGATCGCCTCTATTAACCAACAGAGAGAGAGAGAGAGAAATCAATACGGCTATATCATTCCATATCGGTGCTTTTAGTCTCATTTATGACAGGAAACAACGACAACCTTCCATCTGCCAGGCTGTAAAGCATCTCCATGTCAGCCGGACTGATTTACATGAAATTAACAGTGGGTGTGTTTATGATTCCCTCAGGAGGAGTTCTACCATTGCTCCTTTTTAATAAAATATAAGAATGATGATGACATTGCAGTTCACGGCAAAATTCAAGCCAAGCCTTCAACCACCTTTAGTTGATTTATGACATATTTGCCACTAGAAAGAGGGGAAAAAAAACCCCAACCTCGCATAGGAGAATGTGGGTGAAAGTTTTTTTCATCAGGTCACAGTGTCCACAATATCACCGACGTGCTGCAACAGCACCGTGCCCTGAGTTCCCCCGTGACTCCTCGCCTTATTACAGAAGAGCAAGAGTGTAGCTACCAAGCAGATATAAACCTCTGCGACGTGTTCAGTGTGCTCCGCGAGCTGTAAGGGTTTCAGTGGGAAGAGGGGACACATCTGATCTCAGAAAAACAAAACGACAAACCACAAAAGCCAACCGGAGCCCGTCATCCTAACAGACTCAAAATGAAGCATGAATGTGCATTTATAACTAGGTTTGTGTTTTATTTCAAATGATTCATGTTTTCTTCTCGGATAGAAATCTATAGAAAAATACGTGATGGCTGTTGTACAACCACATCTCTGAGCGACCTGTTCAGGGTTTTCTTCCTCCCAAACTAACCGAAGGATCATCTAACTGGAAAATGTTACTGCCAGTCAAACTTTTCTAGCTTGTTTGTGAATTTCACTGAGATGCCAAAGATTTTATTGCTATTTCCAAGTTGTGACTAAGAGCTCAGGAGCCATACCCAAACACCATAAAAGAAGAAACAATGGATTAGTCAAGTAACCAGCCGTGTCACAGGAAAGACGTGACAAAGCCTCCATTTCTCCTTTTTTCTTCTGCGTGTTAATGTGAGTTTTTGGTTTCCTCTCCCATTTGCGCGCTCGTTGTCACACCTGAACTTAAATTAGAAGGGAAACTGTCTGTGAAAACTCTGAAATCAGAAGGGTGGATGTCTCTTTTCCTGCAGTGCAGTGATGTGAATGCATGTGTGTGTGTGTGTGTCCATTTCACACACCAAACCCATTTCCACTCTACCTCCTCCTATTTTAATGACGGGCATTAACAATGCGACTCGCTCAGATCTCCAATTTTTACGCAGAAATGTGCAGAACGGACTCGGTGCGACCTCCCTCCTCCCACTCCATCCCCTTTCTCCCCCCAATGACTAATCCCCCACGCCGCAGAGCCACAGAGGACTGTGACGTTTGTCACCGTTTTATCTGATCACCCTGAATTAGAGGAGGCAAGAGAAGAATCTTAAAGATGGGAATCAAACCTCAGACCTCACCCTCAAAGTGGCGGATGGCATAAGCTCAAGTGACAGCAGGCTTGCCATCGAAGCCGGCCGCAAACCTCAGGGAGAATATCTCCAATTCAGTCGCTCCTGCTGCACAATAAACCTGGATCTACACTTAACAGTGGCAGAATGCACAGGGGGGAACCCTCCAGCTCGACCATAAAACCACAATCTCACCCTCGGAGGCTTTTTATGTTTGTCCAACAGCAGAACGCAGGAACGCGGCTACATTAATTCATTAATATTCTTTTATTAAATAACACCACTGTTCAAGTGGATTCTCCAGTTGTTCCAGGAAGTACGCTGGACCTGCTCTACTGTGCAACATCTACCTTAAGGCCAAATGTGATTACAACGGTCTCGCCTTACTGGCTGAGACACATGAAGCTTCTAATGCAGCTGGATGATTTCACATCACGAGTTTCACAGGAAATTATGGGAGCGAGATGACAGTGGGGTAGTGGGGAATAGGGTCAAAGGTCAAGCGTGTAGGAAGAGAAAACATGGCAGATTCCCACGGAAGCGTCTCCGGAAACATGTGTTTGAAAACCACCAGTACTTAGCTCAGTATCAGAGAGGCAGATGCAGTTTGCATGTAAATACACTCCCCCCTTTCTCTTTCTCTCTCGCTCCCTCCCTCCCTCCTTCATGTGGAGCAGGTCTCTCTCTCTCCCCCTTTCTAGTACACACGCGCGCGCACGCGCACATACACGTACGCACACATGGAACAGAAGGAAGGAGGAGAACCGGAAAGCCGGAGACTGGTGGGACCGGACTGACTAGATTCCCAAGCGGTGACGCGGTGGATATTCATCATCAGCTGCCCTCCTGTCCACCTTTGATAGTTTACACTGATACTCTTGTGCCTTTATTTGCCTTCACACCATGTTAACGGCACGTAGGCTCCAGAAAACAAGCTCATTAAAGGGGGGTGTTAAGGACGGAGGAAAAGGGAGTTTAATTTGATGCTACAGGTGCTCAAAGCGGCCTCAGGTGCCGCAGAGGATCAGATATGGAGAATGATGTATGCCCCCACGTCTGCGCGTCTGGTTTATTAGCAGCCGTGGATGAATAGACTGTTTTGTTGCCAAAAGTCCCCAAAGGCAGATTAGCTCTTATATTCCAAGACAAACCTCAGATGATAAAGACACTGCCTTTTCACATTCTCTGAACACCGAGCGTCCCGTACAACTCCTACAGATCGAGCTTAAATGAAGCCCCACTGAGTTTATGATGATGCTCCTATATGCACTACAGGGACCCGCGCGCACACTCTGCGCTACTGTACTCTCCTCCCGGAATGCATTAGCCAGGATTACCGTGGGGTTAGTTCCAGGTTCCGAAAGGTTTATCAACCCAAAGTGACCCACAGGAACGCGCATTTTATTACTAACAGACACGGGGGTAATGCTGAGCGGGGAGGGGATCGATACGGATCAATAGCACTGTAGTGTAACACTGGTAAAAAAAAAAAAAGCCATCTGAGGAGATTAGGCAGAGAATATGAAGGTCCAGTCGCGCTAAATGGATTTATTTTATTTATTTATTTATTTTTTACCAACAAGTGTTTTAAAAAGAGCTCCTGCTCCACACAAACGCCCGTGTGCCTTCGGAGATTCAACCTCCATCGAATATGTGTTTTTTAATTAAGGCACAAGTGCTCATCCAAGCGAAACTGAATACAAAGTGAATGTGTTTCGGGCTATTCTCGTGCGTAAAACGTCTCCTGCAGTCCGACAGAAGGAGCTCGAGTCAAAATATTTGAAATATTTAGCATGAATGTAGTTATGTGCAGATAGAAGAAAAAGATTTTGTGTATGGATCGCGTATGTATGTGCAGAGAAGTTCCTACCTGGACCGGGTAAGAGCTGCGCGGTTCCCCGGCTCTGAGCGCTCCAGCCTGGCTACAGGCTCCGCTCCTCCTCGGCACCAAGACGGAGCCGCTCCAGACCTCCCGGGAAAAAAAGAAAAAATAAGAATCCCGAAAATCAAATCTCTAAATAAACCAAACAATCCAGTCAGACAGCCAGGGGTGGTGATTACTCCAATTTCTCTCAAATCTCTGTCCACTCTGAGTGTCGTGATCAGCGCTGCGCGTCAGCCCGACAGTCCTTCCTCTCACCGGAGGAGCGGCTGGAGCTGAGTCCAGCCGGGGAGGAGGAGGAGGAGGGGGCAGAACCGTCCGGGCAAGGAGGGGTGGGGAGGAGTTGGGTCACTCAGTTACTCCGCAGAAACGTTACCGCCGCCCGGGCTCTACGGACAGCGGCAGCAGCATCCTCCGCTGGTGGCACGCGTGGGGAGATGTTGGGGTGGAGGTGGACGGAGCAATGGGACAGGGCAGCAGTGTTTTTTTGTTTTGTTATTTTTTGTTTGTTTTTTTTAAAAAAACGACCTGAGCAACAAACACAAGGTCCGGGAGCTGTCAGCAGCGGGTCTCCAGGTAGTTCCCACTCAGAAGCGCGGTCACCGCTCAGCCGCCTCAAACTCTGTCCGCCTTCCCGGTCCAGCACGGAGCAGGTCGCGCGACTGCACCGTGAGTGCTGAGAAAGTGGAGTGAATCCAAACGAGTGCGCTCGCGCTTCTCTCTCTCTCTCTCTCTCTCTCTCCCTCCCGGTCTCTATCTCGCTCTCTTCCCCATCCTCCCCCTCCCTCACCCATACACTCTATACACTACACCGGAGGGGGCGGGGGGCGGAGCGAGCATCCACCCCAACAACTTCGTGGATTTCCCAACATTTTTTCTCTCTTCAAATCAAACATTTGGCGACTTCCCCGCTGCCGTCACCCCCGTATTCTATGCGAATACACCTGATTTTATATTTGATGTATCTTTATAAGGTGTCGTGTCTCGGCCATAGGTCCGAGCCTGCGCGCACCCGAGATGACAGACCAAAGTGCGCACACGCTGTGACCCTCGCATTTAAACCCGTCTCTGCATTTTCACACGCACATACAGTAAATTAATGCTTCTACCTCTTTCTGTTTTCTCGCGTCTCTCCCTCTCTCGCTCTTTAATTATATCCAGGGGTCTCTCTTCCTTCTCCCTCTCTCGCTCGGCTCCGTCCGGCCACAGAGGAGGAAAGCTGCCGTCTCTCGCGCTCTGAGCGCCACCTACAGTCGGCAAGTGGCACGTGAGAAGATGAGAGCGAGCGGAGGCTCTGCTTCCCGGCCGCCGTGCAGCAGAGGCAGCACGAGAAAGGCAACAAAATGGAGCCCGTCGTGGAAAATCTATAGAAAGCTTATTTATTGGACGTAACGCCCGATAGAGCCCGTGAACCCGGCGCAGCATGTGGTGGAGGGGAAGCAGTTATCCAAAGCAGCTTACTGAACACTGATATTACACAGGGCACATATGGATTATGATTTTGCATATGCCTCAGTTTTTGTGCATCTGCTTACGAGCTAATCCCGAAGCAGTGAAAACAGTCTTTAACGTGCATGTATGAGGAAGGCCGTTACCGCAAAACATAAAAGTCTTTCTTTTTTCTCACGCAGAGGCCCCAAAATTACAATGAATCTTTTTTTAAAAAATAATTTTCTTTTAATTAATAATTTTCCCCAGAGAAAAGCTGCGAGTTACTGTCATGTTTTGCAGTATCGTCTGTGAAATGCTCATTTATTCTGATTACTCTGGCATCTCTGGACTGTAAGTGGTGTAGAATTACAGATACCTTTAAAATTGCACTGTGTAGAATTACTGATGCAAGTTTTGCATAAAAAAATCAATTAGACGCGATATTACAGAAGGGGAAATTATTAGCACGCATTTGTTCGAGTATTAAAAGTAAACATACTAATAATGCAGAATGGATTACTGAAGAATGGCTAATCTAAAATAGCTGGACTGCTGGATTTATTAAATATTATGTGCATGTGTACTTATATAGTGAAATGTTAATATTCTTTGCAGTTCAAAAATAACACAGCTGATTCATTGAAATACTGGACTCAACCAAAGTGTACCCTGTCCACTTTGACAGGTTTCTAACAAAACACCACAGAGAGGATCACAACTTTACAGAAAAGAACAAGAAGGATACAAAAACACACATGAAAAGTTTACAAACAGACAAATGACACACAAATAACAATGGACACACACACACACACACACACA